CGATGACGAGGAGACACGACTGACTAGGTTTTAGTCGGAACGGTGTGAGGAATTCAACGGTGGTGGCTGTGTGACAAACGGACGACCCAACCAGCTGAAAATTGATGAAAACTAAAATCGAACGTTGGGGTTTTAGTTCTTCTAGCTCAGCTTCCTCGTCTGGTAGATCACTGTGAGATTTTTAATTCTTTGGGATTTTACTTCATTATTGTACAGTCTTTTGACAGAACTTATTTCTTGCACTTGTTATTTGAATGCCTTGTCGATTTTTGTTCATTGCAGTTTTATCATTTTCGTGTTAGGAATAAATAAATACAAACATTTAATCTTTCTTTATTGTGGAAGAGTGATTTGCTTGGACTTGTTGTTACTTGTGAAATGTTTTTGGAATTTGAATATGTTCTGTTGTATGAAGAATCAATCTCGTGGAATTTATTTTTAGGGGGTTTAATTTAGAGAGAAGAAGAAGAAGAAGAAGAAGAAGAAGAAGAAGAAGAAGAAGAAGAAGAAGAAGAAGAAGAAGAAGAAGAAGAAGAAGAAGAAGAAGAAGAAGAAGAGAGAGGAGGAGGAGGAGGAGGAGGAGGAGGAGGAGGAGGAGGAGGAGGAGGAGGAGGAGTTAACTGTCACGTCAACAAAAATTAACGGTTACTAAATGGGAATTAAAAGTTTGATGATTATATTGTAACAAAAATTAACGGTTACTAAACAAGAATTAAAAGTTTGATGATTATATTGCAAGTTTCATAATTTGGTGATCAAAATGTAAGAGCTCTAAAAGTTTAGGAATTATTTATATACTTTGCCATAAATTTATTTTTAATTAAATTTTATCCTTTAATATAAAAAATATCATTATATTCTAATGACATTAACATGATAATATACGTATTTTATGTTAATTTTTTTAAATAATAAGTACCTATAAGATAGTCGATAATTTAACTAAAAATAATGACAAAATCATAAAAAGTATAAATATAGAGGAATTAATTTATCATATACTTAAAATTAGGATAAAATACATAAATGGTCCCTTGATTATAGTATATTATTTTATTAAGTTTTTCAACTATTAAAAATTATAAATTAGTCCTTTGACTGTAAGGAGTTATTTTTTGAGTCCTTTGACTATTAAGAATTATAAAATGGTCACCCGACTATTCATTATGTTCCAAACTCGTCCTTTTATGTTAAAAATTTGATGCTAATTTGAGTTTTACGTTAAATTGCTGACTGAGATATGATAAAATTTGATCTCATAGTCTCAAATGACTATCATATCTAAGTCAGCATGTTAACCTCCAACTCAGATGGTCGTTAATTTTTTATCGAGAAAAGACGAATTTAGAACATAATGAATAGTTGAGTGACCATCTTGTAACTTTTAATAATGAAGGGATTCAACAAAACAACTCCCTATAGTAAGAGATCATCTTGTAAATGTAGTAAGATAGATCTTATAAAAGTTACAAAGAAATACACTTCATCGATGTCAGAGAGATATATCATAGGAACTTAAATCAATCAACATTGTTAGTGAGATTATGATTTGAAATTTAAGATTTTTTCTTATTGGGGTTTGGGTATTGCCATTTAGGATTTATGTGTTGTTGTTTGAAAATCAGGGTTTAAATTTAGAATTTAACAATTGTGATTTAGGGTTTATAGGTTATTATTTAGAATTTAGGGATTAGGTCTAGGATTTGATATATAATTTAAGTGTTATAATTTTATTTTATCTTTTATTTTAATCTTGGGCGGTAAAATAATAACAAATATCAAATCATATATAAGAATTAATAAACTAAATTAGAATAATTAAAATATGAGTAATTAAAAAGTTTAGTGATTAGAATACAAATATTAAACTTCAGTAATTAAAATAGAAATGAAAAGATAGTTGAGTGATTAACAGTGTAGTTTACCCTATATTTTTTCTTTACTTTTTGTCTTTCGACAATCCGCGTTTTAGCAAATTACCCGTCTCTTTCCTTCACTGTGTAAGTAAAGCCTAGTTGAGACATAGCAAGCAGTTTTCTAATCAGAAAATCCGATCCAAAGCTTTTCCAGAAATGCTGACCTGTAGTCCACACGTCTCTCCCTGTTTACCACACTATAAATGAACCCATCATCAACAATTTGCTTGTCACTTACGTTTCTCCATATTCAATCCACACAAATGACTCTCTTTCTCTGCTTCTTGTTGTTGTTCCTCCTCTCTTCTGCTTCTGCTTGTGATCGCTGCCTGCACCACTCCAAAGCTGCTTACTTCTCCAACGCCTCTGCTCTTTCAGGTTCAGCTCCACTGTTCTTATTTCCTTTTTTTTTTCCCATATCAACTTGATCAATTCCCTTGCTTTAGAAACGGAACTGACAAATACCCAGATTATATTTATGTGAGAAATTTAGTGGGTGACCTTTGTTTTCTGGGTTTGATGTGTTGCAGCTGGAGCTTGTGGATACGATTCCTTGGCATTAGGCTTAAGCGGTGGTCACCTTGCTGCTGCTGTTTCGTCCCTTTACAAAGATGGAGCTGCTTGCGGTGCCTGCTTTCAGGTTTATATATTTCCACAACATTTTGGTATTGTTTTTGTAATTGGAGCTTGAATTTTTAGCATGTTTTTGGCAGATAAGGTGCAAGAATCCGAGTTTGTGCAGTAGTGCAGGGACTAGGGTCACACTAACCGATCTCAATCACAATAACCAGACGGACTTTGTTCTTAGTAGCAGAGCTTTCAGGGCCATGGCTAACAAAGGCATGGGCCAAGCCATTTTGAAACTTGGGATTGTCGACGTTGAATATAAAAGGTAAGCATGAACCGCAACATTCATTATGATTCTATTTTTGGAAGTTTCTTCATCTTCTTGGTTTTGTTTATGGATAAATGAACATAATCTTTGATTATTTATTTGTGAATTGTTTATACAATTTTGGTTGCCACGTGAATTTTAAATAAATATGTTTGTAACATTATATGAATTTTAAATAAATATGTTTGTAACAAACCGAACTCGAACTCTTTTAAAAATAAGAGAACACAAATGCACACTTATTCATTTAAGTTCGATTCGTTTATACTCTTAGGGTGCGTTTAGTTCACGAAATGTAAGATTACAAGTGAGAATGTAAGATTACAAGTGAATAAGATTACTAGGAATGTTCTATTTTGTGATTGGTTAATTTAGCAGGAATGTAAGATTACTGTGTTTGGTTAAAGGAATAAAATATTATTCGAATGTATATTTAACCAAATTGTCTTTATTATATATTTGTTTTTTTAATAAGTTCGAAAATATTTATATATTTTCTTTAAAAAATTTAAGTTCATAAAATTTATTTATATTTTTTTATAAAATTGAAAATATAAAAAGATTTAATGAAATGGTAAAATTTTATTTTAATGCTTGAATTTCATATAAAATTTTAATTATAGATTTTTTTTATAAATTTAAAATAGTGTAAGGATAAATTTATAATTTAACTTTCGTAAAATTTTTATTATTCAATGACAGAGTAAGGATATTTTTGAAAGAATTTTTTTAAGGGCATTTTAGTTCAAAACGTCGGTAATTCAACACTACCTAAGGAAAATGAGATAATGACATTTCCTGTAATATACTCAAAAAAATTTAATATCGATAATATAAGATTATCGAGAATGATATTACCGATCAATCAAACGGAGAATGTGGCCAAACCCTAACCAAACACACTTGTTCACATAAAGAAAATATAATCTGATTTGTGTTTGGCTATGTGAAACAGGATACCATGTGAATACAAAAACCAGAACTTAGCTGTTAGAGTAGAAGAATCAAGCCAAAAACCAAATTACCTGGCGATCAAACTGCTGTACCAGGGTGGTCAGACAGAGATAGTAGCCATGGATATAGCTCGGGTGGGGTCATCAAACTGGAACTTCATGAGCAGGAACCACGGTGCAGTTTGGGACACGAGCAGGGTCCCGGCCGGTGCACTGCAATTCCGATTTGTGGTCACGGCTGGGTTCGACGGCAAGTGGATTTGGGCCAAAACCGTGCTCCCTGCTGACTGGAAAACTGGGGTTACTTACGATTCTGGAGTTCAGATCACTGACATTGCTAAAGAAGGTTGCTCTCCATGTGATGACAGCCCTTGGGGGTGAAATTAGAGGATCTTTGGTTCCCCGTTACACATGAATTTGATTTGGTTCTTTCAACATATAGTGAAATTTGAATGTTTCCGATTATAGAGTATTACTTTGTTGAGTATCTCAATTATTAAAAATTTATAAAATGAACTATGATTAAAGGGCGTTGTTTTGTTGGCTCTCCCTGCTATTAAAAGTTACGACCCGATTATTTATATGTTTCAAATTCATCAATTTCTGTTAAAAAATTATCCGTCGTTTAAGTTGGATGTTAACTTAATTATTGAGATATGATAAAATTAAATTTTTAATGATGTCTACTGACACCATTATTGCTTTCGAGCACTAACTCAACGATATAATGTAAACATAGACATAACTCACAAAATACATCTCAAACAAATTTAGGATCAGATTTTATTGCATCCTAATATCTATCATATTGTGATTGACAGACTGAAATAAGCTTTTCTTTATTTTCTTAAAGCGTGTGAGACTTGAAACTACAATGTGATTGTCCAAAATAATCAAATATCTTCAACGGGACAACAGGAATCCTGACAGCAAAGATATTCAATAACCATCTCCCATGATACCAGAAGTAATAATGTTTTGCTCTAAAAATCGATATGGATGTAACTTGAGATAACATTTGGTAAAACTAACTGTAAAGCCTGTGGTGTTACTTGCGGTGAGAATGTTAGAAGTAAAATATCTTTTTACCAGAGTTGCACTGCAAATCTGCAATCATTCTGGAAAGATAAGAGAAGAGATTGTGTTTTGTGGAAAGAAGTCTGTATTTATAATTTTTGGTTCGAAAATTGTTTACATGCAAATTATACATTTATGTACAACAACAATGCCAGGATTTCAACAGTTGAGGAAGTTGAGAACAGTGACTCTAGCTTTGATCAATTGCCTAAACAAGCTTTCAAGACCTTCTTCTAGATATTGGATGCACATCTCGGAGATTTGGAGCTTGTTCTGCACATTCTCAACATTCTTCATGTTTCCAGATTTTATCAAGGAATGCAATGCAGCTTCAGCATTCGCAATTTCATTAGCTTTTTCTTCTACTTCCTCGCACAATACTCTTTTTTGGTGCATTAGCTTTGAAACTACTGACCACCGGCTTGATTTCAGTTCGGTCCCTGGCCTTGAAATAAAGGACAACAAGGATTCTAGCACGCTGATGGTTACTGCCTCTACTTGTTTCAAGGAGCTAATCGCAGCTCCAGACTCAACGTCTCTGCTGAAGGAAGAGGTGCTAAGTTTATTCGCCATATGTTTCAAGTTATTTAAGGCCTTGCAGATTGCCTTTCTCGCTGCCTTCATAGAGGTCAAGTATTTCCTAACCTCATTACCAAGCCCCTCGATCCCTCGTCTTCGGCGAAAAATCGATTGAAGTTCTTGGGTGTATTCCTTTGTTTGCAGCAAGGCATCTTTAGCGGTTCCACATACATCCAGGAGAACTAGAGATCCATCCAAAAGTTCATCAACCAATTTCCTTTGCTGCTCGTGAGCGAAAGCTTGCTGAGTGAGGGGCAACTGTAGAAACATATCAACATATTCATACAGATCTTGAAGACAATTCAGCTTATCTCCCATTGATGACGATGTAGAGGCTGATTGAGATGACCTCAATCGGTTCACATTTTCATCAATCTGTGAAGTGATGGGGTGTTGCCTTGAAGGCAAGCTGTTTGAGCGAGCATGGAAAGAAGGCTGGACATTCAGAGAAGTGGAAGCCATTTTCTTTGAGTTAGAGAAGAAAGAAGACCTTGAAATTGTGCTGTTTCAACTAACTCTAGCTATTTGCTGTCTTCCCATTACCATCTGCTGAATTTATATCAAAGGTTAAGGGGAGACATGAGGAATCTGTTTCCGATTAAAAATCAATTACATCGAACTTGGACTTGGTTGATCTACATCATTATCGCGAAAATGTTTGTGTTTTGTCTCTTCTCCAGGATCAAAACAACGCTTTACCCTTTAATAAATACAACCAAAACTTTCTTAAATCAAGGCCTCATGGGGTAACATGGACTTGACACCCATCTCAACAACTATCTCAGCATGGTTAAAGCAATGTCTTCCTCCTAGCCAGCTCAACAACTCATAACATGATTCTTTTAATTACTAATCAATGATGACCCCCCTGTCCCCTTACAGAAATGCAGATATAACAAATTTTCAATAGTGCAACATGCATGAATCTATATAAAATTTTGAATCAAACGTGAGCCTAATGTTTATGTTTTCAGTCAGTTTCAAATAAATAATGAAACCCCATATCAACATTTCACCCTCCTCGTTTTATATGTATACCGTATTGGAGTTCGTGCGAGGATTCGTAGGTTTCCATGGTGGTTAGGCCTTAGAGATCCATCTATCAACTCGCCAACCTATCTCTCGCCCTGGCCTTAACATAATTAAAAGGCACAAGTGGAGTTGATTTAGTACCTTGAAAACTAGTTTTCCCTGTTCCACTCGTGCATATATCTTGGCCGAGATTTGTTTCGGTATGGTTCAACTTCTAGACTTGTGGCTATGCTTTAATTTCTGTTTAACCTAGTTGATAAAATCGATTAACAAGTACTGGCTATGGTTTTTGGTTCTTGGCCAAGAAAGTCCAACTGTGAGATTATTACATAATTTATTTGATATTGTTCGGACCAAAAAGATATAGATTTGTTCATGGGAATCCAGGCTTGTTGTCCCACTCATGCTTTCAATATGTTACCATACAAGGCAGAAAATAAACAACTGTATGTGGTAAAGAAAGATATAGATTTGTTCATTAAAATTGTTTTCATTTATGATTAGATCAAGTATACATGTATTTTTTTTAACCATATACAATGATGTAAAGAAAATGTGATTTTTTCTTTTCTCAGATGGTATCTGATATGATTTTCTTTAGGCTAATGCCTATTGGGTAAGGATGTTGAGAACAGAAACTCAAGTTTTGATCAAGAGCCTCAGCAAGCACTCCACTCCATCTTCAATAACTTGAATGCTTGACTCCAATTTCTGCAACTCAATTTGTACATCATCACTGTTCATTTTTCCAGATTTTCTGGTCTTGTTACCAATGACAGTGCACAAAACTGCATCCACTTTCTCGAATTCGTTGGTTTCCGTTGCTTCTCCCTCTCATGTTACACGTTTGGAGTTCATCCACTTAGACACCAAAGACCAGTTGGTAGATTTTGATTCCATCTTTGACCCAAAGATATAAGAAAAGATAGATTCAAACACTGTGAATGTTACTCATTCTACCTCTCTCAACATGCTAAATGTGGCTTCACCATCGTTTTCGAACTGAGCAAAGCCACATTTACACGCTTTCAAAGATTTATGTATTAACTTCTTTGCTTTCTTCCTTGAAGCCAAGTATTACTTAGCTTCATTTGTGCGACAAGATTCATTGACTCTTCTTCTTCTCATAATTGATATTGAAGTTGTTGTGTATCTTCCTTGGCCTGCAATAGATATCCTTGGACACACCACACACATCCAAGAGCTTGAGAGACTCATTCAACAGCTCGTTAACCTGCTTGTCATTGCATTGTTGGGCTAATGATTGTTGTGTCACAGGAAGTTGAAGCAAATCATAAACCAACTCATACAGATCTCTAAGGGCACTTAAATTTCGGGTCAATGACGGAGATGATGAAGTGGCGGATTCATTGGACTTTAGCCTGCACAGATGTTCATCTGTTTGAGTAACAAGGGGATGAGGACGAGAAGGCATGCTGTTTGAACGAGCATGAAAATTGGATTTTTGGTTCAAAGGTGAAGAAGCCATTTTTTGTCATAGCTAAAAGGCTTAGAAGTACAATTTGATCAACTCAATGCACCTTCCCCTTCAACCCCCAAGCACTGATCATATATTTTGGTAATAGGGGAGACGAAAGGAATCTCGTCTGCAACCTCCATGACTCCTAACGTGATCCTCATCCAAAATCTCAATAATTTTGCTGACCATGTTTGCTCAATGTCTCCCACCTCACCCCAGAAAATTTGTAAGCTCACATTTTTTGTATTGGCGCATGGAGCTTAAATGTAAAGAGGGAACTGCCCTTTTTATGTTGTAAAGTGGTCTAGTTGATATTTTTTCCTTCTGTTTTGAGATAATCAATTGAAGCCGTTCATAATGTTAAAGACAAAAGAATGTAGAAGTGACATACCAAAAGTACATGGAGATGCAGGGGATCGAACCCTGTACCTCTACCATTTGAGCTACATCCCCTAATGATATTTCTATTTGATTTACAGAAAACATTATAAATCAACTTGCTTCTTCAGTGGCTTCTTTCTGTACAAAAAAGTTACTAATTTTGATTATTTACCATTGTAGTCACTAATGCTGGAATTTAGTATCTAGAGTAGTCCAGTAAATGTGGTCCTATGAAATCCTGAGAGTGCTTTACTATTGTACTTTCATATGTATTTGCAGTTTGCAAAACTATTCAGGAGATGGTAGATGTTATGAAATTAACTCATGCTAGTTATCAAAGAGGCCTACTGCATTTCATGATCAAGTTAGCAAATATCTATACAAGTTTCTTTCATCCCCTTCTGGGGTTGAAAATTTGCATAATGTTTTACATGGTAGATATGTTCAGAATCCACAGATGAGTGAGGGGCAACTGTAGAAACATATCAACATATTCATACAGATCTTGAAGACAATTCAGCTTATCTCCCATTGATGACGATGTAGAGGCCGATTGGGATGCCCTCAATCGGTTCACATTTTCATCAATCTGTGAAGTGATGGGGTGTTGCCTTGAGGGCAAGCTGTTTGAGCGAGCATGGAAAGAAGGCTGGACATTCAGAGGAGAGGCTGCCATTTTCTTTGATTTAGAGAAGAAAGAAGGCCTTCAAATTGTGTGTTTCAACTCACTTTAGCTATTTGCTGTCTTCCCATTATCATCTGTTGAATATATATCAGAGGTTGAGGGGAGACATGAGGAATCCCATTCTAATTGAAAATCAATTACATGTAACTTGGACTTGATTTGGATCTGCACTATTATTGTGAAAATGTTCGTGTTTTGTCTCCTTTTCCATGATCAAAACAACTCATTACCCTTTAACAGATACAACAAAAACTTTCTTAAATCATGGCCACATGGAGTAACATGGAACTTGACACCCTTCTCAACCACTATCTCAGCATGGTTAAAGAAATGTGTCCCTTCTAACCAGCTATACAATTCATAACACGGTTCTTTTAATTAGTAATCGCCTAATATATATTGATTCCTCAGATGAGAGTATCTTATACAATGGGCTATGCACGAGTGCTTTTAAATTTGCTTCCACAGACAGTTTCTAGCCCTTTATGTGTAGCCTCTATTATTTGGATACAAGGGGCCTGCATCTGAAAATAATTCATGTCGTTTAATCATTTTCGGTACCATGAATGTGATGAATATGTGTGCAATTTACACGGTTGAGTTTATCAAGTCCAGAATTTCTTGTCATGGAGGAGGCAGGCAAGATCTGCTAGCTCAACTACAAAACACATTGCCGATTTATAGAAAAATGGCTAGAGTTTAATAATCAATGCAGGATTACTAAGCTATAAGCATAAATGAGAGGCAACACTCCAGATCACTGTTCATGTATATTAAAATATAAATCCCATGTGTTTCTTTGCGCACGTTACAAAGATTAACAACGGAGTTGATGTTGACGATTTGACATTGTTTCATCTAAATAACAAAAGCAATAATTTGACATTGTTGGCAATTAATCAACTGATGCATGGTTTTAAATAACAAAACAAGGGGAAGGACAAGATCCACCTTCGTATCCTTTGCACCCTTTCCCTCTAACAGAACCAAAGACGATGTCGTGATTGACAGACTGAAATAAGCTTCCTTTATTTACTTAAAGCGCGTGAGACTTGAAACTACATTGTGATTGTCCAAAATAATCATATTGTCAGAACTTAAAAAATTCTTTCAACATCTTCAACGGGACAACAGCAAAGATAATCAATAACTATCTCCCATGATACCAAAAGTAATAATGTTTGTTCGACAAATCAACATGTATGTGACTTCAGATGGGTAACATTTGGTAAAACAAATTGTAAAGCCTGTGACGTTACTCACATTGAGAATGTTAGAAGTAATTTTCTTACCCAAGTTGCATTGCAATCATTCTGGAAATATGAGAGAAGAAACAAAATTTTATGGAAAGAAGTCTGTATGTATCATTTTTGTTTCGAAAATTGTATACATGTAAATTATACATTTATGTACAACTTCAATGCCAAGATTTCAACAGTTGAGGATGTTGAGAACATTGACTCTAGCTTTGATCAAGACCTTCTAGATCTTGGATGCAAATCTCTGAGTTTTGGAGCTTGTTCTGCACATCCTCAACATTCTTCATGTTTCCAGATTTAATCATGGAATGTAATGCAGCTTCAGCATTCGCAATTTCATTTGTTTTTTGTTCTACTTCCCCGCACAATACTCTTTTCTGGTGCATTAGCTTTGAAACTAGTGACCACCGCCTTGATTTCAGTTCCGTCCCTGACCTTGAAATAAAGGACAACAAGGATTCTAGCACGCTGATGGTTACTTCCTCTGCTTGTTTTAAGGAGCTAATCACAGCTCCGGTCTCGCCATCTCTGCTGAAGGAAGAGGTGCTAAGTTGATTCTCCATATGCTTCAAGTTCTTTAAGTCCTTCAAGATTGCCTTTCTCGTTGCCTTCATAAAGGTCAAGTATTTCCTAACCTCATTAGCAAGCCCATCAGCTTCTTTTCTTCGGCGCAAAATCGATTGAAGTTCTTGAGTGCATTCCTTTGTTTGCAGCAAGACTTCTTTAGCGGTTCCGCATACATCCAGGAGCACTAGAGATCCATCCAAAAGTTCATCAACGAATTTCCTTTGCTGCTCTTGAGCTAGAGCTTGCTGAGTGCGGGGCAACTGAAGATACATATCAACATAGTCAGACAAATCTTGAAGGCAATTCAGTTTATCTCCCATTGATGACGATGTAGAGGCCGATTGAGATGCCCTCAATCGGGTCACATTTTCATCAATCTGTGAAGTGATAGGGTGTTGCCTTGAAGGCAAGCTGTTCGAGCGAGCATGGAAAGAAGGCTGGACATTCAGAGGAGAGGCTTCCATTTTCTTTGATTTAGAGAAGAAAGAAGGCCTTGAAATTGTGTGTTCCAACTAACTCTAGCTATTTGTTGTCTTCCCATTACCATCTGCTGAATATATATCAAAGGTTATGGCGAGACATGAGGAATCTCATTCTATTTAAAAATCAATTGCATGTAACTTGGACTTGATTTGGATCTACACTATTACAAAGGGGAGACCAAAGGAATCTCGATCTCTTTAAATAACAATTAGAACTAATATGGACAAGTTTTGGATCTACTCAATTGGCTCGAAAATGTTTATATTCTGTATCTTCTCCACCATCAACAACAACTCGTACCAAATTAAGTTAATACAATTAACAACTAAAGATTGTTCTGTTCTGCTTTATTTTTTTTTTTGGATAATTAGATTTGTTATTACCCAAGACAGCAGAAAAATGCTACAAAAACCAGTCCAGACAAAGGAAACAGAAGCAGGGGTAACCTATATACAACAGAATCAAGTTATACCCCAATTGATACAAATATCTAAATTAGAGTTATCTAATCTATTGATGTTCTTGTTGCTTAAATGAGACCCTACAATCTGTTTGATTGATAGAATAATATCTTCCTCGGTTCTGTAAGTGTCTCGATAAAGTCTTCGATTCCTTTCCTCTCATATAGTGTAGTTGAATGCACACCAAGAAAGCTTGAGGATGTTAGTAATTAGAGAATTTCCTTTCCAAGTCGCAGTCGCCCAAACCAGTAAATTAGGCCAAGTGAAAGGGGTTTTGTAGATGCCAGAGAGAAGAAGAATAGAGTTCCAAATGGAAGCAGCCAAATTGCATTCTGCAAATAGATGATTTCTGGTTTCGCGGCCTTCAGAACATAGAATACACTGGTCGTTAGTAGCTAGTCCGAACCTTTGTAATCTGTCTTTGGTGGGTAGACGATCCAGAATCACCATCCAAGAAATAATGCTGTGCTTAGGAATATGAATAGGGTACCAAATCAGTTTCTGCCAATGAACTATGTTGTTCTTCTGTCTAACCTGTTCCCAAATGTCATTAGTGCTCGTAACTCCTGTAGAAAGCAGTGGTTGAGCAATTCTTCGAAGCTTCATTAATTTCCTGAAACTCCAGCTGAAAGTAGGGGATTCTTCCATGAACCAGAAATTATGTTGCTTGATTACATAACTATGTGCCCATGCAACCCATATCAATTTCTCACCCTCCTCGTTTTATATGAATACCTTATTGGAGTTCGTGCAAGAGTTCGTCGGTTTCCATGGTGGTTAGGCCTTAGAGATCCATCTAACAACTCGCCAACCTATCTTTCGCCCTGGCCTTAACATAATTATACGGCACAAGTGGGGTTGATTTAGTACCTTGAAAACCAGTTTGCCCTGTGCCACTCGTGCATATATCTTGGCCGAGTTTTGTTAAGGTATGGTTCAACTTCTAGATGTGTGGCTATGCTTTAATTTCTGTTTAACCTTGTTGATAAAATTGATTAACAACACTGCCTATGGGAATCCAGGCTTGTTGTCCCCCTCATGCTATCAATATGTTGCTATACAAGGCAGAAAATAAATAACAATTGTTTGTAGTAAAGAAAGCTATAGATTTGTTCAATAAATTTTTTTCATTTATGATTAGATCAAGTATACTTGTATTTTTTAACCATATACAATGATGTACAAAAAATTGTATTTTTTATTTTCTAAGATGGTATCTGATATGATTTTCTTCAGGCTAATGCCTATTGGCTACGGATGTTGAGAACAGAAACTCTAGTTTTGATCAAGAGCCTCAGCAAGCACTCTACTCCATCTTCAAGATCTTGAATGCTTGACTCCAATTTCTGCAACTAGATTTGTGCATCATCACTGCTCATTATTCCATATTTTCTGGTCTTGTTACCAATGACAGTGCACAAAACTGCATCCACTCTCTCGAATCCGTTGGTTTCTGTTGCTTCTCCCTCACATGTTACACGTTTGAAGCTCATCCACTTAGACACCAAAGACTAGCTGGTAGATTTTGACTCCATCTTCAACCCAAAGATATAAAAAAGAGAGATTCAAACGCTGTGAATGTTACACTTTCTACCTCTCTCAACATGCTAAATGTGGCTTCACCATCGTTTTCTAACTGAGCAAAGCCACATTTACAAGCTTTCAAAGATTTATGTATTAACTTCTTTGCTTTCTTCCTTGAAGCCAAGTATTCCTTAGCTTCATTTGTTAAACCAGACAATTGCCTCTTCTTCTCATAATTGATATTGAAGTTGTGTATCTTCCTTGGCCTGCAAAGGCCACACCACACGCATCCAAGAGCTTGAGAGACTCATTCAACAGCTCGTTAGATTTTGGGTCAGTGACGGAGATGATGAAGAGGCGGATTCGTTGGACTTTAGCCTACACAGATGATCATGTATTGTTTGAACGAGCATGAAAATTGGATTTTTGGTTCAAAGGTGAAGAAGCCATCTTTTTGTCTTAGAGCAACAGGCTAAAGGCTTAGATGTACAATTTGCTCAACTCAATGCACCTTCCCCTTCAACCCTCAAGCTCTGATCATATATATTGGAAACAGGGGAGACAAAAGGAATCTCATCTGCAACCTCCATGACTCGTAACGTGATCCTCATCCGAATCTCAACAATTTTGTTGCCCATGTTTGCTCAATGTCTCCCACCTCACCCCAATAAATCTGTAAGCAATTTATTTATACATACATTATGGGCCAGCACATTTTTTAAAAGAAATAAAGCCTTAATTATTGTGCACGAGTGGCACTGTGATCCACGTCTCCTCTCATGTACTCTTAAAGCGTGTGAGACTTGAAACTACCATGTGATTGTCCAAAATAATCAAATTGTTACTACTTAAAAAATTGTTTCAATATCTTCAACGGGACAACAGGAATCCTGACAGCAAAGATAATCAATTACTAACTATCTCCCATGATACCAAAAGTTATAATGTTTCCTCTACAAATAATCATATATGTAACTTGAGATAACATTAGGTAAAACTAACTGTAAAGTCGGTGGCTTTACTTACAGTGAGAATGTTAGAAGTAATTTTTTTTACCTAAGTTGCATTGCAATCATTCTGGAAAGATGAGAGAAGAGATTGAATTTTGTGGAAAGAAGTCTGTATGTATATTTTTTGTCTCAACACTTGTATACATGTAAATTATACATTTATGTACAACTACAATGCCAAGATTTCAACAGTTGAGAATGTTGAGAACATTGACTCTAGCTTTGATCAAACGCCTGAAGAAGCTTTCAAGACCTTCTTCTAGATCTTGGATGCACATCTCTGAGTTTTGGAGCTTGTTCTGCACATCCTCAGCATTCTTCATGTTTCCAGATTTAATCATGGAATGCAATGCAGCTTCAACATTCGCAATTTCATTTGTTCTGTGTTCTACTTCCTCGCACAATACTCTTTTCTGGTACATTAGCTTTGAAACTAGTGACCACCGGCTTGATTTCGATTCAGTCCCTGGACTTGAAATAAAGAACAACAAGGATTCTAGCACGCTGATGGTTACTTCCTCTACTTGTTTTAAGGAGCTAATCACAGCTCCGGTCTCGCCATCTCTGCTGAAGGAAGAGGTGCTATGTTGATTCTCCATATGCTTCAAGTTCTTTAAGGCCTTGAAGATTGCCTTTCTCGTTGCCTTCATAAAGGTCAAGTATTTCCTAACCTCATTTGCAAGCCCAACAGCTCCTTTTCTTCGGCGCAAAATCGATTGAAGTTCTTGTGTGCATTCCTTTATTTGCAGCAAGGCATCTTTAGCAGTTCCGCATACATCGAGGAGCACCAGAGATCCATCCAAAAGTTCATCAACCAATTTTCTTTGCTGCTCTTGAGCTAGAGCTTGCTGAGTGAGGGGAAACTGAAGACACATGTCAACATTGTCAAACAAATCTTGAAGACAATTCAGTTTATCTTCCATTGGTGAGGATGTAGAGGCCGATTGAGATGCCCTCAATTGGTTCACATTTTCTTCAATCTTTGAAGTGACGGGGTGTTGCCTTGAAGGCAAGCTGTTCGAGCGAGCATGGAAAGAAGGCTGGACATTCAGAGGAGAGGCTGCCATTTTCTTTTCTTTAGAGAATAAAGAAGGCCTTGAAATTGTGTGTTTCAACTAACTCTAGCTATTTTCTGTCTTCCCATTACCATCTGCTGAATATATATCAAAGGTTGAGGGGAGACATGAGAAACCCATTCTAATTAAAAACCAACTACATGTAACTTGGACTTGATTTGGATCTACACCATTATCGCAAAAATGTTCATGTTTTGTCTCTTTTCCTCGATCAAAACAACTCATTACCCTTTAACAAATACTATCAATACTTAGTTAAATAATGTCATACTAATATAATAATAATGTAGATGCTCGTTTCTGTCCGAGACTAAATCAGAACAGGGGCCCGAATCAGAGCAAACCCATTTGGTCAGAGCCCAAGGCACAATTAACCCAGCAAGTGCAGACTCAAGGGTGGAGACAACACCAAAAGCCTCAGCAGTTCCTTTCCATCCAACAGATGCCAGACAAGCCCCATAACCGTGCAACCGTTTGGAGATACATGCAACAAATAAGGGACGTGGGGATATCCATATGGGACATCATTAGCAAAAATAAAGAGGGGAAAAACTATCAAGCATCAGGGGACAATAAGAATTAAGGGAAATAAGGAGAAAAAGGAAACAGCCAGAAAGAAAAGGAAGGGATTATCAGCCATCAAAAAATTACAGAGAAAAAATAATCACAGATTATAGGGAGATCGATAATTCATTACCAGTACGAGAGGGTCGAGAGACCATTTTTCATTTTTATTTTCTTTTTTTACGCGGTAGAGCAGGAACAAAAACAGTGTGTAAGATATTTCTTGGCCACATTCAAAGATCAATTGGTGTAACAAAGGATTCGGTTTACTCTTCTGAAAAGCAGTAGAATCAATACAAGCAGGTTATCTTCTTTATGCTTTATAAATATTGAGCATGCATATTTATCGTTTTTATTCGAAGCAAATAGAAATATTAAGTTACTCTCGATTTACCTGTTATGCTTCGGGTCTAGATTGAAATTTGTTTTAGGAAAAGTTCGACTGGTAATAGTTTCATCGCACATCAGTGTTGGTCGAGAGCGTTGTAAGGGCGCCAGGGATTAAAAAAATAGAAAGCAAGGAAGGCTTCTCCTCCATCTTTTTTCCCCCTGGAAAATTCATAGCAAAGAGATACACAACAAAAACTTCTCAAAATGTTTTATTTCTTTTGCATTTCAAACAACTATATTTTCTTTATTTCGAAACCGGAATAAAATGGAAAAAGAGACAACCCATGTGATATTCTCATCATTTTCAGAACAAAAAGAATTGCAACGTTTTTTTCTTTGCAACCATCTCTTTGATTTGAACCAAAGTATAGGAAAAGATGAGAGTAGTTTACCTTTTGTTAGTAATCTCGCTAACAGGGTCTTGTTGTTGGGGCTAGGGAATTGAACAGTCGATCCTTTTTAGGGGTAGAAGTTCTTGCATGTTGGCCTTGGTTTCATTCTTTGGTTGAAACAGAGAAGAGAAAGGTTAGGAGAGTAGAACAAGGCGTTTTATGTTGATTAAGGTGTTGTTTGGTCTCTTTAGCCATCGCGGTGGCCAATCGGTGTTCATGGTGGCGCAAGTGGAAGCCTTTAGGGCTCTTGATCGGAGAAGAAGAGGAGGGTGAAGAGAGTAGAGTGAACGGCTGAGTAGCTTAGGTCAAGTTTAGGTTTTAATTAGGTGTTACATTAGGCGTTTGGTTAAACTAGTGTGTAGTCACTGAAATTTTCAGGTAAAATTATCTTTTGGTCATTATAGGTCTAATGCTTATTTTCAATTTAGTCACTTGTGGGGCTGTTTTTAAGTTCGGGGTTCCTTTTGTCCAAATATTATTATTTTCCAGTTTAGTTTCCCTGTTTATTATTTCGGTATATTTTGCTCACGCTCCTCCTATTTAGTTATTTTTACGTTTTAATCCCCTGTTTGTTAAAAGACAAATTATAACCTTTGTGCCTGGAATGTTATTATTTTTGTATCATAACTCAATGTTTGTACAGTTTGCTACTTTAGTATCATATTTACATTCCCATTTTAATTTGGTCACATGACTTTAAGTTCTTTTAAATTTTTTATCATTTTTACAATTGTATGTTGTTACGTTATTTAGGTTTCAACCTTAAATTAGTTTTCTTTACGTTTTAATTCGCTTAAGTTTTTTTTATGCCTATGTATGTATAGTTAATTAAGGTTCGTTTCGAATGTATGCTTCATATGGCTGAATGATGATGATATGTATGCATGTACACATAGGTTGTTCATTAATTAGATAAGCATTTTATGTATATATTAATTTTTGTATGATACCCTCACGTGCATAACTCGACCATATGACATAATTGGATTAAGGGTAATATACTTTTAATTTAAAATTGTTGAAGTGGGCAGTCATAACTGATTTGAGGTCCGCTTTTAATGATTTTAAATTAAAAGTGTATCCCGAAAGTGAAACCAAAAAAATTGATTCGTCACCTAAAATTTGGGAACGAGAGAAAAAGAAATGTTCGTTTATTTAAATATATCGAGAAAAGGTTGTTATATCTTTAAGATCTGGTCTCGATATTTGTAAATAATCGAACATTCTTTATCTTTCTAAAATGACTTGGTAATTTTAATTTAATTTGTTTGAGTGTTTTTGAATGTTTTAAATTTACATTTTTACTTTATGAGATCAAGAATCAAAATAAACTCGAATTTATAAAGTTCATTGCAAAGACGTTAATTAATCGACAAGGTACCAATTTAGGGCGTTGTGGGGGTGCTAATCCTTCCCTACACGTAACCGACTCCCGAACTCGGATTTTGGTAACGCAAACTTCAATTTGTTGTTTTAATTAAAATTAATTTTTATTTAAAATGACATCATTTTTGGGTGCCCAATCACACCCTAATCAAAGATTGGTGGCGACTCTTTGAATTGTATTTTTTCGATCGTAAAGGAAATCTAAAAATTTTTCGAAACGAGAGGTCTTTTAAATCACATTTGTTTTTAAATTAAAAAGAGATAATTAAGAATTAATGTGGTTTTTAAAATCTCACCGTTTTTCACCTTTTGAAAAATATCGTTTCGACAGCTTGGCGACTCTGCTGGGGACCTGTTTTAGAGAGTCAAGCCGATAGTCGATTAATTAATTGTCTTTGCAATTGAAAATTACAAATTCGTTTTAATTTGATTTTTGATCCCTTGTTTGGTTTTTAATAAGTTTTGTTTATATTTTGATTGTTTTTAATTAACAATTAAATAGTTGTACTAATTTGTTTGTTAATGATTTCAGATTAATTGTGTGAATTTAGGAAATTTTGAGTGTTTTTATTGTTTGTTTTTTCGCTTTTCCTCACACACTGCACAGCTGCATTATCATAATATGAGCTAAAACCCCGCTCCGTCCTATTTAAGTAGGAGTGAGAGATTATGCCCTCGTGTGGTTTTCACCTCCGCATGGGATAGTGGATCGCTCCTGGAGCTCACGCCTTATGGTCCTCGTGATGGTATTCACCTCCGCACGGACATAAGGATGTGTGTTCCCTCGAAATTGAACTTGATTCCCTAAAGCCTGTGATGGGCCAGGATTGAGGGTTCGGCAGCCTAAGGGGGCACCGGCAAGGACAATTCGAGAACCTATTACTTTAGAACCTAACCCGGCATATAGTGAACATAGAGCCTGAACTTAGGTTGAACCAAACCCGAACCTTAAGAATCCCGTGAGGAGGGTACACAAGGAAAAGCTTTTTTGAGTCATTTATTTTTGTTTTTCCGAATAAATGCATGCGAACTAGATATCATGCTGTTAGGTTTATTTTTTGAATAAGCATACGAATTAGATATCATGAGGTTAGGATTTCTTTTTTGTGGATAACAAAGCATGGGGGTAGATATCATGTTGGGTAGGATCTGATAAAGCATGATTGGGTAGCCAGCATGTGGGTAGGATTCTTGAATAAATTATTATCCCGACTTAATTGCTTTATGTTTACTAACCGATCTTTTGTTGTTTTTGCCTTGTTTCTTTTCTGTTTTGCATTGCATTGTCCATTACATGGTGTTGATTTGGGGTCGATGTCCATATAGAAGGCCAGTAATATGGAACGAACGGTTCGGAAAGAGGTTGAGGACAATGCAGATGTTCTGAGGTGGTCGGAACAGTCCCAGTTGACCAATGGAGACAGCGTGATGCCTGGATATGTGTCAGAGTTATTTGGTTACACCCACATCAACGTACGTCAGAATGATCTGAGTGAGCTAAGAGAGATATGGGGAAGATGGGAAGCAGCCGATAAGGAGATGTTTTATCAGTTGTACGGCGATATTCCTTGTCTTCTGGATGTTCCTATTGACCGAAATCTGTTTAGAGCATTGGCGCAATTCTGGAACTCGGCTTATAGCTGTTTCACATTTGGTAGAGTGGATCTAACACCAACGATAGAGGAGTATCAAGCTTTGGTCCGTTGTCCGAGGTCCCAAATGGATAGAATATATACCAAGCTGCCAGTCACTCCTTCATTTAAGAAGAAATTACTATTGATGACTGGAATGAGTGAAGATTGGGTAGTCAGAAACATTAAGAAGAAGGGAGATAGTGAGTGCATCTCTTGGGCTGCTCTGAAAGAAGTAATTGCTCATCACCCTGATAAGAGAAAGAAGCTTGACTTGTTTGCTTTAGGGATTTATGGGCTTGTTATTTTTCCAAAAGTGCTAGGATATGTAGACGTATCAGTTGTTGACTTGTTTGAAAGATTAGACAAGCGCGTGGATCCTGTTCCAGCTATTCTAGCTGAGACGTTCCGGTCTTTGAGTTCTTGTAGGCGCGAGGGAGAAGGACGCTTTATAGGATGTGCGCCTTTGCTGCTAGTGTGGATTCTGAGTCATTTCAAACATGTTGAAAGAGCACCAGGACGAGTATTTCTAGACGGTTTCTCACCTTTGAAGGATTTTCTTGCTAAAGAGTGGCCTGGGGGTTTTACTGAAGAAAAATGGATGGTCATCTTCAAGGATATCAGAGAT